GTGGGGGGGGGGGGGGGGGGGGGGGGGGGGGGTTGTTTGCTTGTTTTTACAAAAAACAGATGCCGGCACAGGTTATACTGTCATGTTTACTGTCTACATAGAACATAAAAGGAAAGCCATGAAAACTTGTGGTTAGGAACTGGTTTTGCTTCAGACTTCATAACTGGATATAAGTTTTAAAAGATCCTGTGACACTGAAGAATGAAAGGTAACAAATACATTTTGTTGCACTCCTCGTTTTAATAAGCTTGACTGAATTTTGACCCTACCAAATACAACAATTCTCCTTTAACTTCATCATTGTTTATATCGTTATAAAAAACAAGATTAATTTCATGAGTGACAAAGATTTTAGCAGCTCAAGCGTATAAATACTACTCTTAATCCAGCTGACAAACTGCACCTGGAAATGCCATATCACTTATTTTTCATTTTAAAAAAATGTTTTTTGAAGGAACCAGAAAGTTATTTTAGACTCTTTTACTAAACATTTCCCCTAAATATCACCTAACTTCATTGTCAAAATTAGCGAATATAAAAATAACAGTTTTGTGAATAAAAACTGAAAATATGACCAGCCATCATTCAATATACATTATGAATGTTATATTCCATATTTTTCAACTTTACAAGGCACTGTGATAAAATATAAAGACTGAGTAAACATGGACTTTAGTTAAATAGTAAGACCCTCTCATTTATCTTTTCAGCACAAGACCAAAATTATTTTTCTACATAAAGCTCCAAGATTTAAGTAGAAGAAATTACATAGGGATACCAAGTATGTTCTAAGAAAAAGATGAAAAATAAAATTATCACAACAAACAAAGGATGCAGTGCAACAAAAGGTCACACACAGGGAATGACAGAGATGTCCATCGCTGTTTACTTGTCAGCTGTTGGAGAATGAAGCAAAGAGGAAACAAATGAGTTAACATAATTCAACAAAAATGAAAAGGAAGGAAGGGAAAGAAGGAAGGAGGTGCTAGACTCCATTTTAAAGCCATGTCTTCATAATCAGGGTTAGATAAAACTACACAGCAGATCCAATTTCCAAAAGAACTGATCAAACTGTTATGATTACAGTTGCAATTATGAAAAGAAGTTGATAGGAGCAGCCAGGTATGCTTTATAAACTTACAATTTCTTATCTTACCTTACATATAAGGAAATAGGCACTACCGTATTGAGTATGATAATGTATGACCAAAACGTTAGAAATCCTGAAAAAACAGAACTGTTCACCACTTCTTTCCAATAAAGGTAAATTCTGAAACGGGCCCCAACCTGATGTTCCCAAATTGAATTTCCTATTGCCAGAATGATTCCCATACATACCAGAAACCCAAAGATCTGAAATGAGAATAGCAAAAACAGTTATGCTTTTCAAAATACCTATTATTTCCCCATCATATGGATCTGTAGAAAAGATTAAAACAACCCCTACATTTATATTTCATCTTCACATAAATACTTGTATTGCCTAGTCAAAGCAAATCAGTACTTAAGATCCAAAACAGAACTATTCAAAATAAAAGAGTACTTTCACCTCTAATGGCCTAGGGAAAAAAAAATCAGTTTCCTTTCAGCTAGAGTCCATATTCCCCAGGGCTCCTTCATGGGTTTACAGCAGACAGTCAGGCCTACACAGAAGTGTATTTGCAAGATGAGATGCAAGGAGCCTCTTTCCCCAACTTTTCTGTGGTATGTATTTAGGAAATATTGCAGTTACTGAATCCTAGATTCTGAGGGGAGACCATGTCCCAAGTTCCCTTTGCACTGGTCCATAGGCAGAGCAGAAAAGGTGGGAGAGGGAGGGAGGAGGATAAAGATCCATCACATAAAATAGTTATAACCATACACATACTACCATAATTCTGCTGGGTGATATTTTCTGCCTCCCTCAGGTGATTCAGTTCTATTCTACCACATCCCATGTGCTGTCACCTAAAGGTTGAGTCCAGTCTTGAGTAATGACTTCCAGAGTTGGTGCAACATCAGCATAATCCCATATTATGAATAAATTCTAAATATACGCTATTATAAGAGTTGCTCGGAAGGTATTTTTTATTATTGTGGAACGTACAATTACTAGAATCATTCTTCGAAAAGTTTAGTTTAAGTTGTATTGTTTTAAGTCACGGATAAAAGATTAATTTTAATTGTATGAGGGTACAGAACAAAAGTAGGCAAAATATGGCCTGTGGGCCAGATCCAGCTTGCTGAGGGATTTTGTCCAGCCTGCATCAGGCAGGCCCCTCAGTCCCGCCGAGCCCAGGGGCAAGAGGCATCCCAGGCCATGGCACATGCAGCCAGTCCCACAGCCCCTAGGCACACAGCAGGGCAGTGTGGCTCATCTGTGGTCCCTGCACCCTGGCCCATCCACCCCACACCCAATTCTAGGGGTGGGACAGCCCCATCTCGCATAGGGAGTTTTGGTGAGTTGTTGCACAGAGAGCCAGGAGGGGAGTGCTGACCCAGTCAACGACAGCTCAGCAAAACTCCCTATGTAGCTCATGGGCTAAAGTAATTTCCCACCCCTGGTATAGAAGATCTGTGCATAACTTGAAAATGCAAGTAGCAATGCATGCACATGGAAAAGGTTTCACTATTTCTCTCATGAAAACTTCTCTAAACACCCAAAAACCGACTTTTGGATTACTCAGAGAAAAAGTTTATGCAACTCTGCAAGTTTTCCCATGATCAAAAGCACAACACTTTAAAGTCAGCATTTTAAAGTCAGCCTATAATAAAACAACAGTGTTTATTTTACCAAGAAATCATAAGGAATTTGGATGCATTATATCTTCAGCTTTAATTCTAGAGAAGCCAAGTTTAACATAAAAATAATATACCCAGACTGGTACAATTCTGGAGTGGAAAGCTTCTACACCTAAACTTTCAATACATGGTGGAAACATGCCATAAAAAGGAAAATTAACAGGAAGAACACAATCCTGCTCCCATTGAAGCTGGGAAACAAGAATGTTGAGCAGAAACAAGAAAGCAACTATAAAAGTTTCTCTGCCTTTATTCTTCAACTCATCATACTGGTGGCCTCATGCACAAATCCTGCCCTAGAGAAAAACAGATTGCTACTGTTTTCAAGTACTCTCATAACATGGCAGTGCTTAACAACAAACTGATTTTCAAGTTGTATGCATATGTCCCTCAACATAATGTATATAACTGTTCTGAAGTGTCTACATATTAATATTGTACATGTTTCAGAAATAGATACAAGTCCAAAATAAGTTAAATGAAATTTAGCAATACATATTAATATCTAATGATTTTTTCCTGATCTGACTATAACAACTTACCCATAAAACTAAAGTATTCATCAGTCGGTCAATGCTTGTTCTTTTAAATTTAGTTCTACCACTGTTCTGCATTAATTTAGTGTCAGGGCCTATAAAACACAAAATGGTAACTGATCATTATTTTTTAATTATTGCATGATATATTATTTACAAGAAGTATTCATATATATTGAAGCTATATTTATATATTCATATATATTGAAGTATATATATATTTCCTAACACATAGTAAAGTAAAATGTGAAAAATTGAGATATGTTCCAACTTGTAAGTGGTCTATAAATATTCCTGAGCTTTCACAGCAGAGTTTGAAAATTCTTTAGTGACTGTCCAATGGAAATGATGGTTGGGCAACTGAACTCAACATTGAATTTAAATTCATATTACTCCAATGATCTTTCATCCCAGCTCCAGGTATTATCTGAAAACTACCTACAAATGTAGGAGCCAGGAGTTCTGTGGACTAGTCTTGTCTCTACCACAAACTTCCTATGAGATGCTGGAGTAAGACATTTCAGCTACCAGTGCTTCTGTAAAACAGGCACAATACATAGCTACCTCAACATAGCTTTCTGGGGCTTATTTAGCTGGTATCTATAGTGCACTTCCTGATGCTCAATTAGAAAGTGGCACAGAAAAGTTAATTTTTGTATCTTTAATTGCAATTAGTTTTTGCAGTCCTGTAGCATTTGCCAACAGAAAAGTAAGCACTCAGCTTCTCTGATTATGTGTGATTGCTCAAGCCTACTAACCCTCTTCTGGACTTACAACTTGGCTGTATTCCATGCATGCCCATGGAGGACATTGAGCATTTAAAGTAACGTATGCTAAAATCCACACAAATGATGAATGCTGTCAACAAGGCAAATGAGTTTGATGCTATTTGATAGGAAACCATACAATTCATGGATGCTCCTTAGAGCAAAGCCTTTTCTAAACAAAAAAATTTAACAAAGTATCTGGTCAAGGACATGTTTGTAAGAACAAAAAAGAAATTAAACATAATCAATGTATTGGCTAAATTCTTGCCACATATATATGTTTTGACACATCTGCAAGTTTCCCACGAATGTTCCAAGCACACTTTTGCAGCTAACCCATAAATAAAATTATTCAGGAGATGTGATGCATTTTCTGAGGGAGGATTTTTGGATTTTAAATGTGCATTGCTCTTAATTCATACTTACAGTGTAGGCAATATACCTTCATTCAGATCACCTGGCTATAGCTTTGCATGTCTTAATTTGATTATATTGCAGTTACCTCAAACTCAAAACAGGCTAGCATTTGTTTAGCATGTAAAAAGAACAAAAACATTTTTAAATGTTTCAGATACATAGTACAACTTGCTAGTCAATTATGGATCTATATACACGATGGAAATAAAAATTCTATGCAACTGAAAGCAGAAAAAGTTAGATATATTCATACTTTATATTCAACCTGAGGTTTCATCTATTATTCCTATTACTAAATGTTTATGTTACCACACAGAGATCCAAGTCAAAAACACTTATCCACAGTATTCAGTGAACCAAAGCCTAAGCACTAAAGAACTTATAATTTCAAGAGAAACAAAGGTTGAATAAGGAAAAAAAAATCAGAATCATACAACTGTTATACCTTTATGAACATGCATATTTAATATGCATACACACACAGACTCCCACACCTCTGTGCACACATACAGTATATCTGGTATTTTGTTTGACGCAAATATATGTCAACACAAATAAACATCACCCTTCCTTGGTTGCCCCCAGTAACCCAGCCACCATCTGTTAAGATGACACAAAAGCCCACACTCACTTTAGTCAGTATGAAATTTTATAGCTGAATCTAGACATAACCTTATTTGGCAAGTAATTTTGCAGCTGAAAACCAGTATGTTGAATCACTATCATGATACTGTGTAAACTGTTCGTAAACCAGTCACAATATCAGGATTTTCTTATTCTCACTTTATTTGCATTGTTAGGATATATATAAGTCTAATATATTTGTGAGTGACCACTGTAATTTTGCAAAAATTCTTGCTATTTTTTCCAGGCCATGTAAAGTGGTGTTATTTTTTTCATCAGACATTATGGTAAATATCAGCCCAAAAATCTACTTGCTTAAATTCATGACAATTTTACAAGCTTAACTCATTTTTCTTATATTCAGAAATGTGAATCTCTGATACCCCTTAACATTTGAGATTTGAACACAGATACATTAATACTGATTGTGCATCTGTTAATTTATCTGTTGCTGACTCCTGGTTAGAGCACAAGACAGCAGATATTTCAGTGTACCAACAACTGGGATTTCTAGTTCATAGGAAAATTCAATAATTTAAAACAAAACCAATTTTTGCAAAATTTTCTGTGAACAAGAAATCTTTAAAAAAAATATATTCAGAAATACTGAAGCTTGTGTTTCTGAAATAAAACATACTCTCTGGGACTGACTACTTTCAGCTGACCACAAGCAGCTATCAGGCCCCCCTAGTCTGCAGTTCCAAGGACTCCCTGTTACATGAACTCCCAGAAGCCAGCTGTCCAAGGGCTCCCAAACTTTCCAAAGCCTCAGGTCCATAGGTGGCGGAAGAGGGGGGCTACCAGGGCTCAGCCCTCCCAAATGCAGGGCAGCAGGTACAGCTACAGGACAGCCCAGACGCAGGCTGCTGCTACAGCAGGGGGTGTGGGGGGAGGGGTGTACACACTCAGATACCCTGCGCAGCCAGGATTGCAGCCCTGGTGTGTGGCTGCCCAGCATGACAGGTAAGTTTCAATCTACTTTCTTTGTGACTGGGCTTGCGAGGGGGCAGATCAAGATCCCCACAGTGCAGGAGGGGGTGGGGCAGGGGCAGGGGTGAATCATGCACCCCTGCCCCACTCCCTCCTGCACTGTGGGGATTGTCCCATGACCTGGCCTGGACAAGGCCCCATTCACCCTGAGTGGGGCCCGGTCCAGGCAGGCTCCTGGGACAACTGGAGCCTGCTGGCTCATTCGGGGGCATGGGAGGGGGGCTGCCCCTGTGTGCACCGTGGGGGAGACAAGGGGGGGATGTGCCCCCCCATCTTTGCGCAGGGTGAAGACAGGCTGCTGCTGAGGGCTGGCCTCTGCTCCCTGCCTCTGCACCTCACTGTTGCTGCTTTGAAAGTGGTGCAATGCCAGCAGCAGGAAGCATATGGCATGGGAGTCTCGATCCCCAGGCCCAGCCCCACTCCTTCCCTCACCGCCATGGTGGGAGGGCAGATCGAGGCCATGTGCCTGCCGCCACTGGGCTGCACTGCGCCCTGTGCCTGCCTGGCAGCAGGACACACATGATACCACACATATCTCGGGGCAGCAGGGCTCTAAGCCCAGTGCAGCAGCAGCAGCCACCATCAGAGGGTCACGTTCCCTCTGGGCCTCCACTTGTCTCATCACCCGGCCCAGCCAGGACCCCACTCACCCCAGCCCCTGCTCCTGCCTGTGCCCTGCTCCCTCCCTCACTACTGGGGCCTTGATCTGTGCCGTCCCCCAGCCCCTTCCCTCACAGACTCCCCCCAAAGACTTTAAGGGGGGGGGGGGGGGGGGTGGCACATACACACTCTGCCCCACCAAATAATTTTTTCTCCCTTCACCTATGCTTATGTCTAACAATTATTTTCAGATGTCCCAGGTTCCCTCATACAGTAGTGTAACTGGGGAATGCAAGCATGGCACCAGCCCCAGGCACTGACTACGAGGGAACACTAGTTCCCTCAATCCCACCCCCCCACACACACGTCTCTAGGAGTCTTTACCACAGCAGGGGCAGCCCTACTATAGAAGCCATGAAGCACAACCCTGCACCCAGGAGTTTGGACTGAGAATTTAGACTCAAACACCCTCCCAGGTCTTCCAGGATTCCTAGGTTCCTGGCTTCTGAAAACCCCTGACTTGATCCTGGAAGTTCTAGGTCCCTGGCCCCAGGGAAGTCCATATGATTAGGCTGCCCTTGCATTCCACCATACAACCAGAAAGGAAAATGTGCCTGCCTACAATTTGCTGTAAGTATCACTGAGGTCAAGATGTTCTTGTGAAACTCCTTGGGTCCAAATTTTACTGGAAAATTTCTGGCTAGTTTTAGTCAGGATGTCTACATTCCATTCCTGCCATCACTAGTGACTCACTATGACACTTCAGAGAAGTCAGCTTATTCCTCTGTGCCTCACATTTAGGCCTACTTGTAAATGGCAGATAACATCTACATTCAAAACATTTTGAGACCATTGGACCAAAAGCACCATCGGATGCTGTTGTGCACTTGTCCCGTGATGGGGGTTTAGTCTTCTATGCCCCTTAAATTGAAATACTGGGTTTTTAATTTAAACCCACCATTTCAATTTAGAGGTTTTATTTTACCATTATGTTATGGTGAGGGAGCCTGCCTATGGCTGAGGGGTGAGCTACCAGCAGGCCAAGTGGCTCCTCAGCTGCAGGGGAGGCCCTGGTCCTTTCTTCCATGGTAGAAGCACTCCTCCCTCCCCGCCCGGGGAAGAGCTGGATCAGACCTGGTGCTGCTTCTGTGCTGGGGCAGCACCTGGCCTGCTAAAAGCCAGCCCAGGCAGTCCTGGGGGCACCACCACTGCAGAAGAAAGGACCTAGACCCCCTGCAGCTCAGGAGCCACTTGGTCTGTCAGCAGCTCGCCCTCCCCACACCACCCCCCAGGCAGGCTCCGCCAAAAAAAAAAAGGATCAGGCCCCTTGCCACTTCTGGCAGAAGCGGCAATGGGCCCAATCCTTTTTTTCTGCAGAGCCTACCTGCCTCTCCTGGAGCTGGGGGGGATGAGCTGACTAATAGCTGCAACATCAGGTGTAGTTTAGTTTGCAATGAAGCAAACTCATCTAAAACCCTCAAAACTGGTGCACATGACACCATTAAACCACACAAAGTGACATTTTCATCACGTTTACATCATGACATCATCAAGTGTACAAGTGCCCATAGTCACTAAGACACTAAGCGCACTGGGATGTGTGATTATCACGGCCTGAAATTATTGTTAATGAACAGAAATTTTGTCTTACCTGCAAAAATAACCATTCCAAAGCACCAGTCTGTGTTTCTCAACACACATCCTCGTAGAAGCATCTGTTCATTATTAAGGGAGTACTTATTATCTTTCCAAAGAAGAACTCCTATGAATTTATCTAGCTTGTTGTTAGGAGTTTCACAAACAACTTCCCCTGTAAAATGATAAATTAAATTATCATCACTCATTTAACACATTATTCACCAATATAAAATTTTACACTAACAAGGAGTTTCTGGGATACCTTCTTCTACTTCAGTCAAAAGACTAGAGAGACTTTTTACATAAGACTTATCAGAGCTTTACCACACTTTACAACCTAGGAGGGCACCCTTTGTATCCCATCCACTACTAGTTTTATTGTTTGTATTGTACTGTGCCTACAGGCCCTAACAGATACCAGGGTACTATTGCCATAAGCATAATATTAAAACATATAGTGAGAAACTGTTACTTTCCCAAAGAATTTAACAATCTAAATGGGGTGAAGGGAAAAGAGGGGACAAGCACATAAATTATAAGTAACTTGTCAGCAGTCACATGGCAGGTGAGTGATAAAACAGGAAATATATTTAAACTCTCTCAAGTCTCAGCCCAGTGCCTTATCTACAAGCTCAAACTGCTTCTCACTAATGAAACAGCTAGTAACACCAGAAGTGGAACAGGACACCTCTGTATCCTATGCAGTGGCAGTGGCTATTTTTGCATCCCTCCTTCCCGACCCCAGATATGCTGCTGAGCAATACTGATGTTAATTTGGCCTATCAATACAGAATAGCTCTTTGTATTGTCCTATGGGAATTTGTCTACAACCATACACTTCCTGCCATCAGGGCCTCCAAAGTCTGCAACAAACACATGGCAAACTAAGTCTCTGGCTGACACTATTATTCTTCTTCATCCATTTGGTCAAGACCGCTGACTAGTGATACCCAGGAGCATGATATTCCTCTCAGCCACAGATAAAAGCCTGAAGTTAAAGTCCACAGACTATGAAACAAACCAAGAAAAAGAAAACTGATCACTGAGATCCATATCTTTGCCTTTTAAACAGAACAGATTCTAAATCATGGAGATAGTGACCTTCATGCTTTAGGCACTAGACCTTTTGGTTTGCTGGCCAAGAATTCTTATCCTCTAGAGCAGTGGTTCTCAACATTTTTTATACTAGGACCCATTTGTAAACATCGATGGCCAGTCCCAACCCAGTGCCCCTCGCTCCTGACCTACTGCCCCCAGCTCCCCCAGTGTGTGGGGAGGGAGGTGGGTGTGTGGGGCACAAGGCAGCCCCTTGCAGGCTGGAACTCTGACAGACTGCAAGGGAAAAGCCATGGTTTCCAAGTTTTTCTCCATTTTTAAAGTTTGTTCATGACCCTTTCATATATTCTCACATCCCACCTTTGGGTCATGACTCACAGGTTGAGAAACGCTCCTCTAGAAGAACTTTATTACCAAGAGAACCCTAATGAAATAGCTTTATCATAGCTTTACTATTACTCTTTGAATATAAAAACTACTCCCCAGGAATGACTACATTGCATTAAGAGTGGAAAGATGTCCCTGAACTCTGAAAAATTTCCTACCAGAATTCCCATTAAGATTTTCTCATAAGTAGAATGTAGTCTTTAAAACAAAATTAAATTAAAAAAATACACCAGCCTGAAAATTGGGGCTCCAGATAAGTGCAGTACATGTTTAACCAGGATACAGCTTGTGTTTATTTAGAGTGTATAGGAATGCCAATGATTCTTTTCAGCTGTCCTAGGTTTTTTTCCCTCTTCTTTCTACTTTTGTTTAATTTGTTCCATGGTCCTGATTAGAAAATGCTCAAATTTGGAAAAAGCAGTAAACATACAGTACTGTGCTGCAGATGGTGAGATATTCTAAAAGGATTCCATTAATGGCATCTTGCACATCATGTGATGTAAAGCAAAAACAAGCTCTTGTTGCAGCCAACTGGGATCAGTACTGCTGGAGAAAAAACAGAAATGGCAGCCTACAGCTTGGAGGAAAAGAAAACAGTGTGATGGAAGAGGCCACCCACATATACAGAGGTGATATATGTACAAATTAAGTGCCCTGGTTTTGGTCACTTTTCCCAGATTTACAAGGCATCTGTCCTTAATTCACAGGCCCTGAGGGTTGAGAGTTTGAGCCCTGCTTAAAATGTAAAAACTGAATTGTACAGGACAATGCAAGACTGCTAAATTCTGTGCAACTTAACATATTGTGCAGTGATTTACTTACTATTATGAAACCTCATGCATATTTGGTTTCACCAAGCTAACTACATGTGTAGTATTTAGCTATAGTAAAAGAGGAGTTCTTTCATTTGCAGACTTTCATAAGAAATGTTTCCTATATTTTATGATCACTCACCACGCTGTATTAACTTCACCCAACCATTAATTTTCCTTTCTGACAAATTTTGTTTTCAACTTTGAAAACAGCACGTCCAGCATGACCTTTTAAAAACAATGGCTTTGTTCTACAGTTATGCCTTAGTTTTCTCATATTCCTATACTCTAGGATTTAGAAGTTGAATGTTAAAAAATTTGCTCCAAGCTAAACTTGTCATAAATTGTATAGTGCCTGCCTAAGAGGACCTGTTTTAAAACCTCTAATGTGAGATACTGTTTTAGGGTAAAATCTTTTAGCAGGTTGTTGTCTATTTATCTCTCAGAACAGATACCCCAAAGATCATATTTTCCCCTTTCTTCTGCTCTTAAATGCAAAGTATCTTCTATTCTCCCTAATTCCAGGTGGCACATGCAATAATAATATATTATGAGATACGCTGTTTTCACACTTTTTCCAGCCAAACCAAACTGAACAATTAATATAGATCTTCTTACAAAGCTGTTTTTGCAAGATCTGCAACACAATGTTTAGACCAAAGAGTCTTAGTTTCAGTTTCATAAATTTCAGAAAATCACCATGAACTTCAGAGCTCTTACATGAATAAAGCTTTTGAAGTGTATTCATTATTTAGTCTACCTAGTGTAACTCTTTATACCATGCTTACCACAGTGGTATCTGAATACACAACCAAAGCTTGTAAATTATCTTGATAGCTTAACAAGTCTAGACACAAAATCTGCTTGGCTGATCTATTTCTCAGGCTACCAAGATCTATCTATTAACTTGTCATAATGCTGCCCTGAAACACATGAATTGGTTCAAGGGATAAATAACTCTAAAGATCTTTAAAGTTGACCGAGATCACAGAACTGCTCTTGTAAAGGCATGGGCCCTAATTTTCCTAACAATATTAATTTTGCTTGTGAATTTGCTTATGATGAAAGAGAAGTTTTTTTCATAAAAGTAACCAAATCCTATTTGAACATATGAAAAGAGCTGTAATATATTATTGGGAATGTATTTTTAATATCAGTTATACTTGAGAAAAATGTTTTTAAAAAATCAGAACCTTCCACACTTTTAACTTCTTGAATACGGAGTAGTTCAATACAATTAATAGGACAGTATTTGTTAGTGATTAGAACAAGAGACCAAAAGTTCAGATTCCTGAATTTTATCTTCCTCGCTTTCCACTGATTTGTTCTGTGAGCCAACTAGCCTTGTCACACATGCTAACTACTTAAAACACTAGCATCCAAGTGTTCAAGCAGTAAAACATGCTAAATGTCATGTAGCATAGCAAAGTTAGGACTTTTCTGGGGAGGCGTACTTTCAGATTGTATTATTGAGCTAACATCCAGCTGCTCTATGATCAGGAAATTCCGGTGCCATGCTGAGACTGGGACATAATGATCAATGGTTTGTTGGTCCCAGTTTTCCTACTGCACCAGAATCTTGAACTGGCTCTGATGCAGTGGGGTAGCTAGTACTGTACAGATAAACAGTTGGGGGTTTTTTGTCAATCCCAGTCCCCCTAACACAATGGAGCCAATTCATGACTGACTGTCGGTCCCAGCCCTCTCACTGTACCAAAGCCAGCAGATGGAATACATTGCAGTTACCCATTGGCAATGTGTACGGGGTGCATGCAGGTACATGTGCACCCCCTGCGATTGGCCGCCACCACTGTCGGCAGCACCTGTGGGTGGTCACTGCTCACCAGCACCTGCCCCTCACCACCGACATCTGCGGGGACTCGCCAATCCTTGCTGGCCGCCGCTGACATTGCCAGCAGCGTCTGCGGGTGGTCACTGACCTCTGGTCAGCACTCGCCACCCCTCCCCTCCCCTGCTGCCAACACTGCTGTGGCCACCTATGGGAACTCCCCTCTCACCGCTGCCACACATCTGCCACCACCTGTGGGTGGTCAGCATGCCCCACCCAGCCTCCGGGGGCATGCATTGTTCATGCTGTTATCCATGTAAAGTGATGCACGTGGGCAAAAATAACCCAAGTTTACCTACACTATGATGGGTTCTACATTACTTCTTACCACACGGAAAAAAGATCTGGGAGTCATTGTAGACAGTTGACTAAAAACATCAACTCAGTGCTCAGCAGCATCAAAAAGGCAAACAAAATGTTAGGGATTGTTAAGAAGGGAATTACGAACAAAACAAAGTTTCATTATGCCCCTTTACAAATTCATGGTACATCCACACCTTGAATACTGTACCCAGTTTTCATCCCCACACCTCAGAAAAGATACAGAAGAACTAGAGAAGGTACAGAGAAGGGCAACAAGGATGATTAATGGTATGGAGGGGCTTCCATGAGGAGGGACTACAGAGGCTGGGCCTATTCAGTTTAGAAAAGAGGCACTTAAGGGGGTACATGATAAGGTTTTACAAAATTCTAAATGGTGAATGGAAAGTAGATAGGGATTTACTATTTACTGTCTCTCACCATACAAGTAGGGGTGACAAAATGAAACTAAGAGGTGGTAAGTTTAAAACTAACAAAAGAAAGTTCTTTTTTCACGCATGATGTAATTAAAGTATGGAACTCATTATCACAAGATGTTGCATAAGCAGACAGATTCAAAAAGAGTTCAGACAAATTATTGGAGGAAAGGTGCATCAGTAACTATTGAGCATGGGATTTAGGGATACAGCCTCTGAATCAAAACTTCCTAGACCTCAAATGCTGGAGGCTACATGTGTGAGAGGAACAGGGGAAAAACGGTGGTCATACTCTGTTCATTCTCCCTTTCAGCATCCACACACTGCCACA